CACTTCAGAATTTGCCAGAAAATTAAATATTGATCGTACAATAGTTACTAAACGTTTACATGATACGAAAAAGATTCACAAAGAAGGAAAATGAATTCCATATCTGTTATCGGAAAATGCCAAATCGCAAAAATTGCGAATTGAACATTTGCATTTCTCCTTTTCATCCTTTTTTTTTTATTTTTATATAATATATTATTGACTTAGTATTCAATAAATTATTATTATTACTATCTCTTTATTTTTAAAAGACTTAAATTCTATACTATTACGTTTTCAAAAATTTACAAGAACCAGTAAAATTTCTAAAAAGAAAAAACCTCTTTAAAGAAAGAAAAAATACACGCCAAAAACATAAAAAGGTATCGAATATTACGTTCTTCTTATAATAAAAAATGGATACAAAATAAGTTCAATTAACCAATTATTTCATAACGCAAGACACATAAAATAGTTTTAAAATGACTAAAATGGTCAACTATAAAATTATAATGAAAAAAAAACTTGATGTGTGGGTCACATTATTTGCACGTCTATGAATATATTATCTCATAGTAATTGCATTATCAAAATTTAAAAATAATAAACATACGTATATAAATATAATTAGTGACATAGTTTGTGGGACATAAAAATATACACAAATAATAGACGTAATATAAATTCATATGGAGAAATAATATGTAATTTAGATATAAAAACAATATAGTATGTAAGATATATATAATATTTAGAAACTGTTGATATGGGGTAAAAGGCATGAAGTGTGAAAGGACAGATATGTGTCCTCAGTATTAAATAATTTATTCAATTAAAAAGAATTCAGGTATATAGTTCGTTCATTAACACGCCCAGAATCATACGCCATATTGCACGCATACTCAGAAAGCGTCACGTGAATGTATAAAAATCCTTAACGGAGTATCATTCTCGCCTATCGATCGCGTTCCTATATCACACATATTCCAGAAACATTATAGATAGCGAAGATTAGCAGTTACAAGATTAGCAAACAATTATTAGCATCTGTTCTTTGTTGAATTATTGCTTTCATGTATTGTATATATCTGCAAAGATAAATTGTATGTAATAACTTTTTTATTAATTCGTATTGTAAATAATTCCATGAAAACTTATTATCCTAAAATATTGTTTATATTATCCTATAAACATTTTAATACGACCTGGGACGAGAGGTTTTTTTTCATTATATAATCCGGTTAATCATTTTGGTCACTTTCAGTCTATCTTATGTCTTGCGTTATGAAATACTTGGATAATTACATTCATTACGTATCCATTTTTTATTAAGGATGTAATATTCGATACTTTTTTATACATTATGTTGTTTCTTTTTTTATAAATTTGTACTATTAGCGAAAGGAAAAGGAAATTGCATAAGAAACATAATAAACACAGAATAAAATGCAAGGATCCCAAAATGTAATCGTATATGTGCCTGTTCTTAAATATCATTCTCGATGTTTTATTCGGACTCTAATTATGATGGGGGAAAGTAGAGGTTGAAGCACTTATTTACTCAGGGCTGAAATCCCATTATTGGTTCGCACGCAGAAGCTCAACTCGCCAACATTAAGAACTATGCATGTAAAAAATACTAAAGCAACTTATAAATAAAACAAAATCGACGCGTATTTGACTTAAGAAAAATACTATTTCTTTTTGCTAAAGTTGGTATAAAAAAGACTGTTCTCCAATACGTTGATTTTAACGTTGTAACAACTTCAATTTTGTGCGCTCGCCGGAAACTTTGATAATGATGCGCAAAATAGGTTCGCTTCGGAAGGCGAGATGCAAATAAATTGGATTCGTGTACTTAATGTTGTAGTAAAGAATCATGTATTTAGATATAAGCAATATAATACAGTCTTGTACGAAGATATGTGTATGCATGCTGTGTGTGTAAATGTAACGCAGTACGAATCGGTATTGCCTTCGGCTTCGCTGTACGGACGCGACTCGTGGGTATGCGCCAGTAAATCGCGGTCGCGGTAAAGCGCGCGAGTTTTCTCCGCAATGGAGAAAACCAAGAATGCGTTTTAGACACTCAACGGTCGAGAACATTCGGCGGAGGCGAAGAAAACTCTACCCATTTATTACTGTCAAGATGGTTTTCGACGAAGGAATCGACGGTTGAGAAAGACGACAGAGACAGAGCACTCTCTATCCCTGGAATTATATCGATGCGCCGAAAACGGCAGCAAACAAGCCAGTGACCAAGAATGCTCGACCTGACAGAATACGTCACGGAAACTCTCGTCTGTCGCACTGGTATTCGCTGAGCGGCAACCGAAAATTATCAACAAGACAAAATACACTCTGCCTCAGAGATCGATGCAATAATGATTTCTAAAATATACTAGTCAGTTGCGATCGAAAACGCATGATAGTGGTAAAATACTCTCTACCACTTTTATATGCTCGCAACCGGAAGATTCGGAATTGGAAGATAGCGGAATAGGAGCAGAATCGGTACAGAAAAGAGATCGCGCACGAAAAAAAATCGCAGCTTTTATACTAATCGGTTAACAATATGAGCGGGAGAAAACAGAACTCGGCAAAATTCGTGTGTATTCAGAAATCTCCAGCGGAACGAATGTCATCTGTGAATTATCTTTAGATTTGTTTAAAAAGTGGGCGCACTTCATTGTTGCATCTCACTGGTGGGTGCGACGGCATTCAGCTAGAGTTTCTGTCGGGGACGATGTAGTTTTTTAGGGGTGCATCATTACAATTTTATATACGCTTTCTGAATATTTGTAAAATATAAGATATGATTATATATATGAACCAATAAGTTCCGATTAGTTTCCAAGTTTTCACGTATAAACACAATATTAAAGCCTAATAACTTACTGCGGTATTCTCATAATTTTCTCACCACTTTTCGAATAAATGATAGTTATTTTCTTACTTCTTGAGATCTAACGATTTTTGAAGATAGTTTAGATTCCATCGCGAGGAAAAATTTGGCCTTATTTTTATTTCTTCAATATTTTATATTAAAAAATGATACTTGCACGTACAATCAAGTCACATTCGCATATCTCTTTTTTTCCAAGTGTAAGAATTTCATAACCACTTGGACGCACTACTGGCGAGGATATTGTTGTGAAAGTTGACTGTACTTCTAGTTGCTCTGTTGAGTTGATATTTATTCTTGAAGATATTATTTCTGTTGGAATGGTAGTAGTGAATATTTTATCTTCTTCTGTATTATTTGATAAGTCTTTTAAAGATGAATTATCAATTTCAGGAATCTGTGTATATATGGTTGAGTTTATTAACTCCTTGCAATCTGTGTCATTTATACAGATTGATATATCTTCTATTTTCGTTACTTCTACCACATTAATACATGCTAATAGTAACAATGGAAGAAAAAACATTGTTGTAAATTATTGATATTGTTTATGCATTATATCAATATAAATATCAATATAAATATTTGCTCAAAATTAGATCTTTTTCTTAGATCTGTTAAGACTTTCTAATTGAAGATTGCTTATGCACTTTCCATTGCTTTTATAATCATCTGTTCACAACTGACATCCAAATTTATCGAAATTTTTTGTTAAGATATGTAATTGAACGATCACTGTTCCCATGCTTTGTGTTAGTATTTCAAACCTATCTAATGTGTTTATTAAAACACTAGGTGATTTTAATTGTAAACTATTTCCTAGGAATTTATCATATAATCTATCCTTCCAAGTACCTGTATAAAAGTTTAATAAACTTTTATTAGAATAATGATAATTTTTTTAAATGCAATATATTATGAAATTTTGTACTCAGTGCATATACCAATAGGTTTCCATGTATGACAATCTAAAACATAAGAACCAGATGATATTGGAACATTATATACTCCATAGGAAAGAAATATTATCCTTCCATAATTATCTCTGCCAAACACTTGTAATAGTAACTTCGGAGAATTTTGTATAGTCTGCGTTGTGTAATGTAAATCTACCGGATGATCCCAAACTGGATTATTAGTATAAAAATCGCAGCTCTCTTGCGTTTGTCCTTCCTCATGTCCTGATATGATTTTCCAACCATTACCTACAATAATAACACAATTTATTGACATGACAAATCTATTTCTATTAACTAATAGACATGGGCTTATTTCTCCTACCAACGTAAAAATTCCATTTACAGAGTAGATGTGATTGTTTAAAACTTTTTGCGGATGAAATTTGTCCAACTATATGCAACTCGGCCATCCCATGAAATCATGTTGCACTTATAAAATATACAAAATATAGTAGTGTAGGATATATATTTATCTACAACAATCTTAATAAAAAAAAACACTTACTTATGGATTCATTGGACAAAAAAGGACGGATAGTAAAATGAGTTGAGTTTTGTCTCAAAAATGCAACAAAAGTTATATAATTTTACGTTTTTTTGGGCCGCTGAATATAATAGTAATACTTTTATCCATCCATAAGAAAATGATCAAAATTCGTATTAAAGGGATTTATTCTTGTAATTTATCGTTTAATAGTAATTCGATTAGTGACAATTTCGATTCAATTCCTTAATCATTTGTATTATGGTATAATTTTATAACTTTTCTCACTGAAAATCAAAAAAGCATTTGAATAAAACATTTCTAAATCTAACAAACATCTACTTAGAGTTCTAGATATATAAGAGAAACGCGACCGACTTATGTCAGCATCGCAAAAGTATTATACTAACGAAAGTATTAAAAATGGCCATGATATGAAAAGTGTTGTCTTTAAACTATAGCCGTTCCGATATACACTGCCAATAATGAAAATCTATAGTATACATAACGTAAACTATAAATTTTCAGTACTAGCAGCACGCTCGAAACACGGTCCATATTAGACAAAAAAAAAGACGAGAAAAAGAAAATTATCCAAGATAACAATTCGTGCGAGATCATATTGCCTTTACGCGTGCACATCGCAGATAACATTTAATACTCATATAACCCTCGCACGTGAATATCAGGCTGTGCGTGCAAAAACGCCATCACATCGCCCTCATGATATGATGGTCGCACACGGGCGAGCATAATGATGGTACTATGCAGTCCATACATAATGACGCATATGTGCGAGTGTAAAAAATCGTATGATAATAGTATATGATCATATAAAACAGTTATTATAAATCAACGGGAGCATTGATACTGCCGTCACGAATGATAATCACGTTGTGCACGCAAGACCGCCATTATATTGCCATCACGCATGATAAAGGTACACACGTGAGAGACATTATGCTATCACGCGTGATGGGAGCACATACGCGCGAGGCATTAGAAACAAAAAATTAAAACAAAAAATTTATAGAAAAATCACACTATATTTGTAAACATTTAAAATATATTATCACAAAATCTAAAAACAGATGAAAAATGGGTAATGAAGATAAATTTTACTTCCAAAAATTTACCCTCAATTTTTCACCAATCATGCTCGGTGTCAAAGCGCTATTGTTTAAATGAGAATCCAGAATAACAATTCATTATTTTCTTAAACGAGAATGGATTGAAATGGATTCAGATTTTCAGAAAT